TGTTTGTACAAAGTTTGGTCCATGCCCAGAGATCTACCACATTTTTTTCCAGATTCTACCACAGAATTTTTTTTTAAGTCCGATCACTGCCAGTGGTCGGCGCTTCATACCACAATTTTGGACGATCACTTCACACGTATTCTTACGCTCTATCGTTTAGTCGTAGTGATAGAACTTTTTAGAAAAGTATCGATACTAGTACTCACATAGAATACTCTAGAAAAGAATCGATGCCAGTACTCATATTTGCAAAAAAGTATCGATAATACTCGTACTTCCAAGTATTCTCAAAGCAAAACCAAAAGGCAAACAAAAATCAGATTGCTTTGCTTTTTTGACCTCTTCCTATTTGTAAATTGAATAGTCGCTGCTTTTAATAGTTTTAATCTGATTTAAGGGAGTTTTTTTTTTAGGAGTAGGGTGGGAGTGTCATTGATAAAATTACAGCGAGAGAAAGTTTTTCTTAGAAAACCTTTCATTATTGAATCATGGGCTATTATTCTTATTAAAATTCTTAGTATAAAATTTGTCGGCTTTAGTGGTTTCCTGGCGGTACATAATTTATTTTATAGCGAAACTACTATTTAATTCTTTTAAGTGGATAAATAACCTTTACAAAAATACCAAACACGTTCACATTGCAGACAAAGAAATTTCCGATTTTTGCCCACTTATGCGGAACTCTGCGTCGCACAAAAAAATGTTCGTACAAGAGTCGTGGAGAGTGAGTTAGGTAGAAATTAATAAATCGGTTACTGGCATATACATTTGTGGTCATAAAAGGGCCACGTCCAAAATCCAGAAATGCATAATAATCTAATTTTCTGCTCAGTAGTCACTGATTTATCGCTGTTTTCGTGTTTCTGTAAATGTCAATTTCAAAGTTTTTCAACCAATATCTTAGCTGACACAAGCAAGCTACTGAGATACAGTATTTCATCATAAGTGGGCGGGGTCACGCCCCATTTCCAAAATTTTCATAATATTATTTTGTACCAAAATTTTACCTCACATACTAATTTTCAGCAATTTGGATCCAACATTTACTGAAATATTATAGTTTTTGCATTTTTCGAAAATAGCTTTATATGCGAAGTGGGCGTGGATAGTTTTTGCATTTTTCGAAAATAGCTTTATATGCGAAGTGGGCGTGGTTACCGGCCGATTTCGCCCATTTTCAATAGCAACCTACCTTGGTTAAAGGGAAACCTACATACCAAATTTCATTGAGATATCTCAATTGTTGCTCCAGCTGCTGGCTTAATCGACATTTATTTTTAGTCAGATGATTTATGTATACATTTGTCTATATATGTCTCGATTCCTTTTGGCTGTTACAAACAACCGTTATGCGAACAAAATTATAATATCCTTGTGCACAAGTGCGGTCGGGTATAAAAATCTCAAACAAAAGCTTGATTGTTCGGACTTAAACTTATAAAAGCAGTGCCTATTGAATTTATAAATAGAAACAGCTCACAAAAGCAAAGCAATTTGAGTTTTGATTAAAATAAAAAAATAGTTGAAAGTAATATTATTGACTCGTTTTGTAAATATGAGTACTGGCATCGAATCCTTTTTATATAAGTACTAGCATCGATACTTTTTTCATAATATCTCTCACTATATATTCCCTTGTTTCTTTATAGGGTGTCGCATAGTGCCAAAGTGAATATCTACGGGCTTCCATTTATTCGAGAAATGCCGAAAATAACTGGTATATCGGGCTCCGACTTAGTTGTGAAATGTCCAGTTGCTGGCTACCCCATCGATAAAATTCACTGGGAGCGTGGTAAGTATTACATATATATAAAGATTAATGGTAACCGAGATCGTTAGCATCTAAGTTTTCATCGCAGTACTCTCTTCCTAACTACAACCTGTTTCACTTGAATATTATAAATACAAGAGACTGTTGCTTTGCAATAAGGCATCAGTAGTGCATTTACGAACAAGAGTTTCATTATCTATAATTGCAAGGAAAACTTTAACGCTACATTCTGTGGTTCATTTCGTTACGATATATACCCAAAAGTTGGGGTCCAACTCGAACACCCTTACTCATGAAATTTGATGTGTAAACATATGCGTACGGCTCGGCGAAGATAAAAATATGTTTACATACAAATACTATAATCGCAATCAAAGTTCGATTGTTAATCACCCCGTTTTCAGAGGCAAATCTAAGATTACTTGCCGTAAAATTTCTTGTACTTCTCACAACTTACAGAAAAAATAAGTTTCTTCTCTGTGCCACCGCAATCACTTTTTTCTGCTATATTAAGCAATTTAAATATATATTAATTTAATATTTTACTAAAAATGCCTTTAAAAACCAAGGAGAAGAGGTACATAGCGTACATTTTTGTTTACTTTTACATTTGGGTGTTTCCATGAAAATGTCAACCAGGACTGAAAAAATAAAAACAACTGAAAAGGGTTTTTAAGACGAATTAATAAGAGAAAAATACTCGAGTTTTTATATTATAGAAGTATTTCAGCTTATTGGAATTTTAAAACTCAAAAATGGAAGAGTAAAACTGAATGTCTCTCGACTCAGTTTTCTCTAATGAAATGAACTATTTTCTCTTTCCTATTACCTAATTTAAGAGATTTGAAACATTACAATTACATCTTAAAATCAAATTTGCAATAACAACTAACTATAAAAATGAGAAAAAGGAGAAGTTAGAGCTCGAGTAACGGTTATTTTTTTGATTTGCTTCTGATAGTATTCTAATGTCGCGTACGTTATGCATAAACATTGTTTGTCTATGTCATTTGTATATTGGCAGTCGCAGGTAATGCAGATTACAATTCTTAAGCGAGAATTCTTCCAGNTCGACTCAGTTTTCTCTAATGAAATGAACTATTTTCTCTTTCCTATTAACTAAATTAAGAGATTTGAAACATTACAATTACATCTTAAAATCAAATTTGCAATAACAACTAACTATAAAAATGAGAAAAAGGAGAAGTTAGAGCTCGAGTAACGGTTATTTTTTTGATTTGCTTCTGATAGTATTCTAATGTCGCGTACGTTATGCATAAACATTGTTTGTCTATGTCATTTGTATATTGGCAGTCGCAGGTAATGCAGATTACAATTCTTAAGCGAGAATTCTTCTAGTTAAAGATACACAGTAAAAATTTCTTTCCAACCGAAGTAAAAAGATATTTTATCACCCTTTCAATCTTGTCGCATACGTTTTTTAAGTACGAAAATTTCAATCAAATACATCAAAACCAATGTTAATTGCAAATTTTCCATTTAAATTATTTAGAATAGTTGTAAGACAATGAAACGTTGGCGAGATGAGTTCTCAATAAATACATTTTATTACTTATGAGAAAAATTGTTGCATACGTTATTGTTTTTTTTTAATATATAACTAGCCAGAGATAATTTCTCTTAAAATATGAAAGGATTGTAAAGGTACATTATTTAGCTTAGTTTAGGAATTTTTAAAGAAAAGAAAAACTCCCATGATTCGCAGACTTTCGCATATATGCGTGTTTCCATGAAAATGTAAACCGAAAATGCAAGCAAATGAATTCAAACGGCTTTATAACTTTAAATTTCGTATTCAGATGGCGGAAAAAGGTTTTGAAAACGCGAAACGGTGGAGAGAAGAACTGAAAAAATTTAATTTAGTATGTGTTACTAGTAAAAATATTGTATGTANATCGCAATCAAAGTTCGATTGTTAATCACCCCGTTTTCAGAGGCAAATCTCAGATTACTAGCCGTAAAATTTCTTGTACTTCTCACAACTTACAGAAAAAATAAGTTTCTTCTCNGAATTTTTAAAGAAAAGAAAAACTCTCATGATTCGCAGCCTTTCGCATATTTGTAGATATGCCT